GGCGCCAGGTTTTTTTCAGTTCTTTATCCAAGACATATTGAAGGCTCATATAGGCAGAGACGTAGCGGCTTATCAGGACGACATTTTGATCTATACTAAACCGGGAGTAGATCACAAGGCTGTAGTTAAAGAAGTTCTCAACATATTGAAGAATCAGAATGTATGGTTGAAACCAGAGAAATGCAAGTTCTCGAAGAAGGAAATATCTTATCTAGGTTTAGTCATCTCAAGAAATCAAATACGCATGGATGAAACCAAAGTCAGAGCGGTAACTGAATGGCCCGCGCCAAAAAGCGCTTCAGAAGTTCTCACGTTTTTAGGATTCTCAAACTTCTATAGAAGGTTCATAAGTCATTTTTCGAAAATAGCCAGGCCATTACATGAATTATCTCAAGATGGAGTTAAATTTGAATGGACAGAGGAGAGAAATCAGGCATTTGAGAGTTTGAAGTCAGCATTCACTACAGCTCCGGTATTGACAATAGCAAACCCGTACAAACCCTTCATTCTAGAGTGTGGTTGCTCAGACTTCGCACTGGGCGCAGTCCTCTTGCAAATATCAGAAAAAGACAACCTTCTCCATCCAGTAGCGTTCCTTTCAAGATCATTAATCAAAGCCGAAAGAAATTACGAAATTTTCGACAAAGAGCTCCTGGCGGTGGTGGCGGCGTTCAAGGAGTGGAGACAATACCTGGAAGGCAATCCGAACAGGCTGAGTGTCATAGTTTATACAGATCACAAGAATCTACAGTCTCTTATGACCACAAAAGAACTTACAAGAAGACAAGCTAGATGGGTTGAAATTCTAAGCGGTTTCGACTTTGAAATTAGATTCAGACCTGGCAAAGACTCAGCCAAACCTGACGCGTTATCTAGGAGGCCGGACCTAGCTCCTGCTGATGGAGATAAGCTCACATTTGGACAGCTGTTAAAACCTGTAAACCTACCAAAGGACGCTTTCATTGATGCTTTGGACTTTGAATGTCACTTTTTAGATGAGAACACGAATTCATCCAACTTTGAGATACAAGAGCAAGAAAATGCGGAAATTTTGTGGACCGATGAACAGATTATCGAAGAAATCAAATGCAAATCACAAGCGGATGTCAAGATCAACGAAATACTCAGATTTTTTAATGATATGCCTAAGTCAAAGTTTCTAGCTGACTACAAGGTTGTGGATGGAGTGGTGTATTTCCAAGATCGAATCCTGGTACCGGATGATGCTGACATAAAACTTCAGATTTTACAATCACGCCATGACAGCACTCTTGCAGGACACCCTGGTAGGATGAGGACTTTAATGTTAACAAAAAGGCTATATCATTGGCCCTCGATGAAACAATATGTCAACAAATACGTGGATGGGTGCCATTCATGTCAACGCGTGAAGGCCAGGACTACGAAACAAGTAGGAAGTCTACAACCATTACCGATACCAGAAGGGCCGTGGCTTGACATATGCTACACTGCCAGCATTAAAGAGGTTCCCAGATGGGAATACGGGTCCTAGTGATCAGATTCCCATTCTGCTACTGTTACACAGTTCCATGAATATTTCCTGAGTAGCCATTGTGATATATGTAGTCAATATTTTGAAATGTGCGTCTCAATCTGAACAAAGTTACAGCATGTATTACACATGGTTTTCTTATCTAGATGAGCAGATAGCTGAGCGGACCTGTATGTAGCTGATAGCTAAGGATTTACTCAGATGTTTGCACATATGTAGTGTATGCTTTATGGCTCAGATGTGCAGTGCAAGATGATTTGATTCTCCATTCTTCTCTCAATGATATTCCCAGCCTAGGTCATGTTCCGACCAGGGAACCTATTTAATGCTGGCAGTGCTATGACCTCATCACTGACCTACTGGAGTCAGGAGGGTGTGACAGCATTCTCACGGTAGTGGATAGATTCACGAAGATGGCGCACTTCTTGCCTTGTAACAAGTCCATGGATTTGGAAGGCCTTGGAGCATTAATGCTAGCTCACGTATGGAAATTACACGGTACTCCACGAACCATTACGTCGGACAGAGGTAACGTCTTCATTTCTAAAATCACTAGAGAAATGAACAAAAGGCTAGGAATAACGACACAGGCCTCGACGGCGTACCACCCGCAAACTGATGGCCAGTCAGAAATAACTAACAAATCAGTTGAACAATATATTAGGCACTTCTCGTCCTATAGACAAGACAACTGGAAAGACTTACTTCCAATGGCCGAATTTGCTTACAACAACAATCTACATGTATCGATTGGAATGTCACCGTTCAAAGCAAACTACGGGTTCAACGTGCAGTTTACGGACGTTCCAAGTGACGAACAAAGCCTCCTGTTGGTAGAAGAAAGAATGAAATTGCTGAAAGAAACACATGAAGAGCTCAAATATGCGATGCTAGAAGCACAAGAGACAATGAAAGCTCAATTCGACAAAACGGTCCTTGCAACTCCTACGTGGGGAAACGGAGAGGAAGTGTGGCTGAACAGTAAAAATATCTCAACAACGAGACCCACTGCTAAGTTTTCTCATTGATGGTTGGGACCGTATAAGATCAAAAGAAGAATCTCTACTAATGCCTATGAATTAAACTTACCAAAGGAAATGAACAATGTACACCCAGTGTTCCATGTGAATTTACTTAGGAAATACGAAAAAAGTGGAGTGGAAGGACAGGCAATGAAACAACCAGAACCAGTAGTAATTCAAGGAGAAGAAGAATTTGAGGTAAACGAAATTTTGAACAAGAGGAAAAGAAGGGGGAAAGTGGAGTATTTGATAAGTTGGAAGGGATATGAACCTAACCACGATTCATGGGAACCAGAAAATGCATTAGGTAACGCACAAGAATTGGTGAAGGAGTTCAATTTTAAATACCCTCAAGCTGAAAATCAATATCATAGGACACGGAAAATGTAAGAGGGCGAAGCTTTTCCCACAGGGTTTTTAATGCTAGCCCGGGGAAAGATATCTAGCTCATAAATTTGGGAGGGGCTGAGATATGGAGGGGGAGTGGTGTTATGATCTCTATACTGAGATATGCTTGAAGTGTGTTTTCCTTTCGTGCCTACTAGGAAGGGGAAGCTTTTACCTTACCCCTTTCCTTCACATTGCAATCTCTATATCACGCTATACCCACCTTGCCTGCTCGTCTCTACCAAGTCATCAAGGTCCTTACATACTGCACCCGGTGACGCTTCATGTGAAGCTTGGTGACGCTGCGTGTGAAGCTCCGGCCCTGCCCCAGAGCGTCCGCATGAAGCTACATGTGGAGCGTCGCTGCCTTGCCCGGGGTGTAAGAGACTGGTGTGAAGGCATTTTTTTGGTGAAAAAAGGGTCGGCACCCCGGCCGGGTTGGGCGCCCACGGGGCCATTTTCAGCTGTCATCGAGCAGGATCTGGATGCCCCGGGGCGCATACCGTCAGCTCTGTGAAAGACGTCGGGCAGAGTCGGCCGGGCAGGGCCGGGTCCGGGTCACAGCCCAAGTCCCAACCCCAACCACTACATGTTGGGTATTGGCTTGCCTGGCCCCCAAACTGACAAGTCAAAAGTAAAAAGACTCCCCAAGCCTGCTCAGGGGTCCCTGACTGGATTTTTTGGTAAAAAACTGGCCCCTAAAGCCTTCCCGGCCTGGCCAAAAAGTGTCCCTCACCCAAAGATCAAACACTGTCCCAGTCTATTTATGTACAAATCCACAAAAATGGACCTCCTGACCATATGATTTGGTTGGATTGCAGTATTTGGGGAATTGGGGAAGGACCCAAAGTGCCTTGAGGGTGTGACTGAGGCCTCTCAGGCACCTTCCACTGTCCACTCACTGGGGTTTTTGTTGTTGACAAGGTGTTTACACACCAATAATTTCCCCACTGGTTACCCAATGGAAAACAGATTTTTCCAAATTGCCAGCGCAACCCCCAACCATTGGGAGTTCCAAAACTTCTTCCCAAACCCCATACTAATTGGGGCCCGTTGGTGAGTCCTATCAGAACCAGCTTTGGGGCTTGGGCTGAAAGGGAAGTATGGTGTAACAGGTCTATGCTTACCTTAACTAAGCCCCTCACATGGCCGCGCCTGCGCCCTTGAAAGAGGGGCTTATAACTCAAACAGGGTTTTTGGTGGTGTGACTCCAACAATCAAGTCACCTTATGTTGTTTTTCATGTCTCTCCTCTTCCCTATTCCATTAATCTTTCAGCCCTTTTAGAGTACTGTTCTTCATGGGATGCTAAGCCTACATATTGTGATATACTTTTGATGAGCAACAGACATCCCTGCATGGCTTGAGAGCTGTGTTGAAAATGCAAAACACAGGCCTTATGTCCTGTTGTAAAAGGCCTAATACCACCCGGGCCCCGAAGCCAGCTGGATATTCCCTTGGATGAAATTCAAAAGCACATACAGCCATTCCGATATTGCTTGTCGCACCCTTTGAAAAGAAAAGGTTTGTGAGCTTGAAACCTAAGTTTTAACCGGTTAAAACCTGAAGTTTGGCTGTATTGCCTTGAATTACAGCTGAGTTTGAAGTTTTATCGAGTAAAAACTTAGGTTTCAACTTTTTCTTTTTCAAAACGGAGCGACAAGCAATATCGGAATGGCTGTAAATGACAAATGTTACATCAAGATTTCAGAGCTGTTCTGCTCCACCTGAACCACCGTGAATGGCACCATGTTATGTACAATCTGATGAAGAATAAAATACTAGAAGGGCTGAAAAACTTTCAAGCTGGGAAGCAAGGAGAGATGAAAAACAACATATTGTTGTGACTTATGTAATTGAGTGGAATCACACCGCCAAAAAACCTGTTTGAGTCAAAAAGCCTAAGCAGGCCTAAGCTTAGCTAAGCCCCTCTTACGCGTTCGCCGCGCCCTCGCGGCTTAGTTAAGCTAAGGTCTATGCAGACATGTCAATCATCGTGTACTTTCAAGTCAAGATACTTTTGTTGAATTGGTTTTCTGGTTTTCCCTTTCATGTTGATTCTCAATCTTCACTCCATCTCGACGATTATCGTCATCGAGGAAAAAGTCAGCCGTTTGTCTACAGTCTTCCAGCATCAAGCAATGCTATTGACCTGACCAATCACCTTCATTGTTGGTTATTCCAGTTCTGAATTAGTAAACCTTGGCTTTATCAGCAAGCTCTCCAACTATCTGTGCTTTGACCTATCTGGTTGCACTTTGGTATATCTCTCCCTTTTTCCTTGATAGTTTCAGCTCAACTTGTTGACTAACGTGTCCGTTGCGCTGATAGAACAATGACAGGCTCCACCACCTTGTTCAGCAATACGTATCAGCTGTACAAAAGCTACACCAGCGATGTTTGTCAATGGCTCATGGACGCCGCTGGTTACAAACAGGCCGCCGACAACCAGGCCGCTGTCAATGAAGCCCGTGACACTTCTCTCGCTCAGCCCCCTACGCGCGGGACAGGTCGTTTGAAAGGAAAGGCGCGTAAATTGGCTAAAGCCAGTGCTTCATCTGCGACTCAAAACAACAATGTCATGAAAACCTCGATCGCGGTAGACCAGCTTGTGGCATTAGCTCAAAACATCTCTCAGGACCACGAAAAGATGTCAAAGATTCCCAAGACGATCATTACCAAGCTTGAAAAGACTATCTCCCTCCGCCAGGATTATCTCGGACTCTATGCAGCCAGACCGTCACCCAAAGATATCAAAACAAGCCCACACCTTCAAGAAGAAAATGCGTCACATGCATATTTCGTTCGCGTCCTTGAACGTGTACTACGTATCCTCAAACCAAAAACCCCGCCGAGCCAAGAACTGAATCCGAAACCGATGGATCTCTCCGCTGCCGAGTCTTTGAAAGCTGTTCACAACACGAACAATTTTCATGTCTTAGATGTTGAAGACGTGGAGTACGAGGATGAAACTACTCAGAATCCAACTCCTGCGCCGAAGAACGTAGGCAAAGGGGCCAATCCACCCAAACAAGCTATCCAGGTGAAAGCAAGTTTGGAAGTTGAGGATGAGGATGCCGAAGCTATGTTCGCCATCTTTTGTCTTTTTACTGATATGCATCGACTTCAAGTGCTTGTCCGAGATCACTGGAAGCAATACAAGGCTGGAACGCTACCTCTTGAAACAGTTTCGCTCATGTCCAATATGGCGATTGCGGCTCTTCGACAAACCGAAAAGGATTTCATCAGCACTTTCGGACACCTCCTTCCTTCCCCGCCAACATACAAATCTATCTCTTTACTCATTTACATTCATTTTTGTCTACAAAGAGGATTGGATCCTGCTTACCAAGATGATCCCAGCGATATGTACAATCATGGGATGGCCGATATTGGCGAGCTTATTGGCCTTACAACTCATAGTACGCTCATGTCGATCCGCGACATTGTCCGCCCAAACTCAATTCCTTGGTCAATTCCGGGTGTCTTTGGTGTTTATGATCGCAACGCTGATCGCTCCAAGATGTCAATCCGAGAGACCACAGCCCAAGATCGAGTGATTTTAATTGAGCTCTTCTCAGAGTTTTGCGTCCTGGAACGCTGTAAAGCCTCCGATCGATGCGAAGACGAATTCACAAAGGGTATCCGAAAACTCTACGATACCAAGAACAATGAAATTCCGATCTGGCTAGTCTTGGCTGCTCAGATCTTTTTGGACTCTAACTCAATCCTTGGTCCAGAAGTGACTCGACCGTTCGAGGAGCTTCAAAGGGCAGCCAAACAGGTAGACCTCAATCTCGACCGATTCTTTGCGTCGAGACAAGGTGTACCCGACTTCGACTTATGGACCGGATCAAAGACTGCCATACTTCGTCACTTCCAAAAAGAAACGGTACAGGAATCCATCTTGGCAGACACGCTGACAGAAATGAAGATCTTCTGTAAAAACAGTGTTGACCGTCGGACACCTGCTGGCAATCAAATTTACAATCAGATTGACATCGGTCAACCCTTCAATCTTCGCAAGCAACATCCTCTTCTGTGTGGGACAGAACTTCTTGCCCTGCGTCTTCTCTCTCAAGATATGGGCATTAATGTAGCTTGCACTTGGGGATCTATAGTGTACACCACTCATGCGTACAATGCTTTTCGACAAACTGAAGCCCTGGACGTGGATTGGCCTCTGATTGAATGGGTCATCTCATATTTCACACCTGAGAGAATGTTTGCTGGTTTCAGACCGCAGACAATAGAAGAGTGTTTCAAAAGGTACGTCTCCCAGTTTGCTTCCTACTGTATTCACTCGTTCTCTTGGCGGGCGTGAACTGACATTGTCAAGTACGAACCTTTAGTTACAACCTACTCATGGGTACTTCACTATCTAATTTCGCCCCTAGCGCTCGCCGCTCGAAATCAACGCAGGGCTTGCGCCACTCATCTAAAGGCCCTCGAGACTGGTCTACAAAGTCAAAGGTTCTTGATATACTCCAGATTTGGGCCTCCGGGGAGGAGCCCGCAGGCCAAACAGATGTAGCAGGACGCATGTTGACGCGTCTGATGGCGCTCAATGATAAGTCGAAGGTTTCTCAAAACGCCAAGGTTGTACCAGTTGGAGTGGTTGGACAAGTCTGCACTGTCAAAGCGATGATCGAGGTCGAGATACCATGGCTTCGATGCGACTTCCTCGACCTTCATCTGCGCTGCATGGACTTTTTCCGAGGCATGCGACGTGAGCTTGATGGTCACTTCTCAAGGATATTCGGTCCGTTGTATATCGAGAACGAGAACCAGCTTTCTATGGTGGTTGGCTGGATGCTCATGATCAGTAGTCGCGACCAAAAGGCGTTAGAGCAGTACAAAAAGAAAGCACCGGGTGACATCCAGAGCCTTTCAATTTTCACGGGTGCTCGAGTGATGAAGGAGTTGATCCTTAAAAGCGGTGAAGTGGAAACCCAGTAGCATCCACTTCGTCTCATTGTTTTTGATTTGGGCCAGCTTTGATGATGAACCGATCTTAGATTGTTCAGTTTGTCCTCACGTAGCAGGTTTCCAATCATGGCATATGTTTGTTTTATTCAGGAAGAGGTAGAGGTGGCTTTCCGTCTCCTTGCAAGAGTTTAAGATCATTCTACTTTTTATCAATACCTTTGTCTGACGCTATCATGTAACAGAATGTATACCTCGTGCTACAATTAAACACTCGTGATATCAAGTTCTTCAAAATACCTGGTAGTGCCTCCCTAAAGATATGTGTTCTAGTATGGCTGCTCTTCTTTCAACGGCATGCATCTATGTATCTTATCCTTAGCCTTGGTTCTTTTAACCCAATCATGTGCTATTTATCAACGGATATCCGTTGGAGGTTAAACATCAGATTGTTCAGAACTGTGGGAAGCCCGAACATCCTGATCAGCTCATCATCAACTTCATCTTCCGATGCGCATCTATACTTATCTGACACTGATGAATGATGATCATAAAACAAGAATAAAAATTCTGGAAGTGAGAGTCAACATATTTTGATTGAAACAACAGTTTAAAGTCCACCATAGAACATTAATCTCTTGCTACAAACCCGCGCATAATTACAAATGAAAAACTATGATCACTTTAAAGGGGAAGTTGAAGAGAGATCCAACTAAACCAATAATACAGAAGTTTACATTTTAAAAGAAAAGCTATGCAACCAAGCTTTGAGTGAGAGAAATCAAATCTGTCAAAAAGATAAATCAAATGAAGAGTTGTAGAGGACAAGCAAGCTCTGAAAGTGTAGAATTTTTTCCTGAAGAGGTTGAGTGTGAGAATGTTTTCTTTTCTGCTCACGCCAAGCGCGCGGGGTAAAGCCAAGATATAAGGCCGGGGCACCAAGCTCAAGCTGGGACACGGTCAAGTTGGCTTTGGTTTTTGTAAATTTCCAAATTCATCAAATCCATCCAATCCACTTTCAAACAGAAGGAGAGATGTTTCAGTCTCCAGTTTTACAATTATTATTTTCAACTACATTCTTATTACTCTTACTATCTTCTCTAATCTTTCTGAAACCAAACTATACACCTTCACCAGCCGCAATTCTCTCAAGCGTACTCTTCGATCGATATCCAGGTACTCCAAAAACAGAAGCCGAAGCTAAAATTCAATGGATCAAACCACCTGTCGATTTTTTCGGATTGGATGTTGATATGGCTGATTCGATTTTACCAATGATTGGATCTAGAACTTGGTTTAATCTTTATCCTCATCCTACAAAAACCGGTCCAAAACCACTTCGACAATGGATCAAACGATTAAATTGGCTAAAGAAAAACTCAACGGATCCTTCAATCTTACGTGCACTCTCGATTCCAAAAGCTAAACTTGAAGCAGATGGTTATGTAACTTATCCTGAAGGAGTTCCTATTGGAAATGGTGAAGAAGGAGCTTGTAATTGGGAAAGAACAGGATGTTTGGTAGATGAAGAACATGGATATAAGAATAATTTGGATATCGTTCATGCCGAAAATGGAACTTGGGTTGTTAATTTTGATGATGGGTAGGTACTTAGGTCTGTTCGGCTTGTGATCATCACCAAACACCTCGGAATCCGAGTTTTCTCAGTATTTTCCTTACTGATCCAAATCTTTCACTTCCCTATGGATACCTTTTAGTCCACTTCCACCTTCGAAAACTTTATATGATGCTTTGGATCAATTTAATGCAAAGGCCACTCATTTTTGGGTAAATACTTTACCATTTACCAATGTGATCGGATATATTGAAATGATTGAAAATAAATATAGCGCCTGATTTATGATCGGTAACGACTTGATTAGATTGGAGGAAATGTATTAAAGAATTGGCGACTTGCTCTGATGGCTGCCAAACGAGGTGATCATCTTGCTGTACATACTTGGTCAATCCCTTTATCCTTTTGATTTTTCATATCAGATCCATTATATGGTTTTCTTGAGCTAAAGCATGTGTCTCTTTATAGGTCTCATGCTCATCTGACAACATTATCGGATAATGAAGTTTTGGGAGAACTTGGTTGGTGTATACAGATCATCGCTGATGTAACTGGTAAAGTACCTAAATACTTTAGACCACCTTATGGGAACATTGATAATCGGATACGAGTGATTGCAAAGGTCTGTTCGTGACCCTCCACTTCTTTCGAACCGGCATCAACTCATACATTGCATGTCTCACTGTGTCGTCTTTTATAGCATGTTTTCGGTCTAGAGACGGTGATATGGAATTATGATTCAGTAGATTGGGGTTTAAATCAAACTTACGCAACAGGTGATCTAGTTGATACACCCGATCCTGCCACCGCGCCGTCCTACCAAGCCGTAGTAGATGGCATCAAGATCATAGCTGCCAATGGACCAGGTTATGATCCGAAGAAGACTGCAAGCGTGAATCGACAATCAAATCAAGCAGGTTGTTTGATTCTAGAACATGAGTTGAGTGAAGAATCTGTGAGTGCTTTTAAGGATTCATGGGAGTTTGTAAAAAGTCAGGGATGGAAAATGGTACCATTACCTGAAGGCTTACCAGGAGGTGATGGAGATTGGTATCAATGAGTGATTTATCAGACAATTGAGTGTTTTCTCAGGAATGTAAGTTGAGTGTGTGATCTTAATTGAGAGGTTTGGGATGAAGCACTGACCTTTCATGTACTTCTTGGACGTCTGATTGTTGTGACGAACTAGTTTGGACTCTATGGATCGAAACAGATCACTGTTTGTGTCTCTTATACCCTTCTTGTGTCGTTTTCTCTGGGGTCAAATTCTTGCCTAGACTAGATGTTTTACGATCTTTCAAGGTCACTATCACCCTATGCGCTTTGTATGTAGGTAACTGGTGGCTCTATAATGTATTTACTGTAGATGGATATTTCTAACTTGGACCAACCCCATGAGACGACAAATTCCTACTGGAGTAGCTTCTCCTCAAGACATTGATATTTCCTTCTTTATGCTATTCTGCCTCTTCTTGGCAAATTCTCAGACTAGGATTGATCAGTATATATATGCCCTTATTGTTTTATCACTTTGAAACTCGCAGCTTTTCATTTTTCATTTTTTGTGAACTTCTGCTATTCTTTTCAATACAGTGGGTAAACCCGAGTACGTGTTCCAAGCCAGTCCGCATAGAGGTTTGGGTCCGAAATTTTTGAGAAATTTTTGCCATTTTTTCTGCTTTTTTTGGCGGGAGAGTAAGGTTGAGGGGTGGTGTTAGGCTGCAAAACTTTTGGTTTTTTTTTGAAAAAAAAGCAAATTTGGTTGTTATTTGCCACTTGAGCAGCCATATTCATTAAATTATAGGCCTAGTGCGCCGCTAAGTAGCTAGATAGGTACCTAATTGAGGCCTAGGTCCGAAAATCCAAACCTCTAAAAGAGTAAAATCATATTTTTGGTCTCCAAAACCATATTCCTAGATTCATCAAAGCAATGCCTTTTCAATGGTCTGGGTGCCAGTCTCAAACATTCAAATTGAGTGCCCCGACATTGACCCGAAAGGTGAAATTTGATTTTGCAGGGCAGGTCGGAACACGTACTCGGGTTTACCCACTGTATACATTTGGGTTGTAGAGGCTCACATTTTGTCTGGTTATTGTTTACTTGACATCTTTTCATGAAGGCTGCTATGATTTATAGGCTCATGAAAGCTACTAGGGGTGTCAGACTTCAAAAATTCAAGTTATGAAATATCAGAACTTCATCAAACCCTCGCGAGGGCGAGGGAAAGTTATAGGTTCACCGCTTGGTGAAAAGTCTGGTCAACTCTTGAGCCAGGTTAAGTCTTGTGCTCGAGATGTCACTGGCTTGCGTGCTATCCTACACCACAAGGACACATATTTGCGTCAGGGCGTCGGGCGTGTCCGAGATTGGGGACACGGCCCGGCATCCACCAACGGGGTGCTGCCCCGACGTCTGAGTGCGCATATAACCGCACGGCATCCTGAAGATGCGCTGGTGTCGTCCGCCGCCAGGATGACATGCCGGCACCCTGTGCTGGGAACACCTGGGGATATCCGATCAACGAGCATCCCTGAAGAACACTGCGGACAACCATCAGTCATCCAATTGCTAATATCAACAAAGGACCGTCTGGACACCAGGAAGACATCGCTCAGCCGTTCCAGTGGTACTGTCGTTCTCCCAACAGCGACGGATCAATTGGTGGTATGTCCTTTTGCTCTCTCCAGATTTGATTTATTCTTGAATCTGACCGTATGATCAAATTCCTTCAAATCGCCCCTTGTTTTCTTCGAATCTCTCTGAAGAAATCTCAACATCAACAGTCCTCAATCTCGTTACGCACTTCAACCTTCCACACTCTACTTAATCCAACATGTCTTTTGCTCAGAACATGGAATCGCCAGAAGTGACCATTGTAGATACTTGTCAGCATACCATGATACTTTTCATTATGAGCACATTAATGTTCTAAATCTGAAAACGTTAATACTATGTAGATTTTGAAAGATTCCGCTCCGGTGAAACATTTAAATATCGTTGTACGTTGTGTAAAGGCAGAGCAATGAATAAGATTGATAAGCACAAGGGATTACCCAATCACATAGCTATGATAGCTGCTCGAGAGGCTGCTGATCGTGAGAATCAACATCATCTCGGTTCGTTCCTTCAAAATGACGAAATGGATTCTTCGGACAAGCAAGAAGTAGCAGAACAAGACCAAGAGGAAGAGATGATCAATAGTGACAGATCATCACCAGCATGTCAGGGTTATACCGAGGCTCTGATGCAACTTCTAACTGGAAATTACGGTGACTCCGAATCCGAACATTCAGATAGCTCTGAAGAAACTCAAAAGCGTCCCGAGCTCGCTGACGTCAACTGGGATGCAATTCTGATGAACAAGTTGCAAGACGACATGGATCAAAGCTCAATGACCTCGGAAAGTCCATCAAGTGATTCAGGCATGGACAACAACATAATTGAAGAAGACAAAACAAAAGACACACCTCGAATTGATACAGACTGGTATCCGTTCACAAAGGAGGTGTGTCTTTTGGATCTTCAATAAGCACTAGGTCGCTGCATTGCTAATGTTCGGTTCAACTAATGTTCGGTTCCATCCATCAGCAGATTGTGGGACTGTTATCTTCAGGATCTGGACGCCACCTGGTATCAGAGACCGAGTATGAGCATAATCGAATGTTGTTTGCTATATGCAACATCTCTCTACCAGCGTACAAAACTCTAGGACGATTGCGATCAAGGATGTGTGCACGGTTTGGAATAAATGTACAAGAGTGGCAGAGTGCCCTCCAAAACCCGTGCTATGGACTCAGTATTAAAGAGATTGTGGGTCAGGTGAGCGATGTCTCTTGTTTCACAACACCTCCATCAAATTATTAACACATTTATTCTTAACAGGAGCTTTCAAATCCCGTGTAATGGAGCATTTGACCTTTATTCCAGAATATGATCCAAATAAGCCAATAAACCGATTATCTCAGTCCAAAAAGTGGCGTGA